CTGTATCAACCAGTTTGTGAGCCCTTTGTAAAATACAACTTTCAAGTATTGAAAACTTCACACAAACATCTAAGTGCTCTCTAAAATTGCCATCAGTGCTGCCTTCCCACCCATTGAATGAAAGGCAGTCGGAAACTGCATGAAGAACTCAGGCTTAGGAGAGAGAGAGTTGGGTTTGAATCACCTCCATTACTTATGATCCAGGAGAACTATTTTGTGCTTTAGTTTCCTCATCTGGGAAAAGGAGTTGTTGCTGGATTAACTGACATGCAACAATCTAGGGTTAACGGGGAGATGAGGACACATTTGTAATGCCTTAACCAATAAAGAAATTAAAGATAATAATAAAAAAACAATCCATGCAGGATACACAGCACTTCGCTGGGCACCTTGCAGACTGGTAGCTTTTATCATTATAAGTCGTGCCATGTACAAGATGAAGAAGGACCTGGAAGAGGAGAGCACGAGTTTCTTTACCTCTGTATCACTTATTCATTCCCTTCTTCAGAAACATTAACCCAAAACAGGCTGAGGGTACTGGTGATGTGACACAGCCTTTGTGCTTTTAAAGCACTTTTGTATAAAGTCTGGATAATGAGATGCTACCCTTATCGAATTGGTACTTACTGCTTCATTTTGAGAATCTGTTCAGATTTAGTCCACAAATTGACGTGTGGCAAACATTAATTCTGTGTGTCAAAAGGAAGCTACCAAGCACGAGTGGTTTACCAATCACCCTTATGCTCTGTAGCATATGCCCATAGGAGGTACCAAAAAAGGACAAGGAATCAATCAGTTCCATTTACTGAGACGCCCTATGGCCCTGGCCTGATATTTAAAGGGGTGGGAAGAAAGTAGAAAGTAGATATGAAGGTCTCCCAATCACCTTCATACCCCAGTGATTCTGTAGCATAGGATGAATTTCAGTCTAAATCTGAATTTGGATTTAAGTACCATTCCACAGTTCAGTCATGATAGGACCCCTCCTGAGGCTGTGGGCCATCTTTATACATATGCTTTCTGACTTTCTTCCCCTCCAGCATGACCCAGCCTTTCAGACAAACCTGGGAGGCCCTGGAGTTAGAGGGAAGGCACAGGACAACTTGAAGGGAGACCTACGACCCTGGCAGAACCCACTTCTCAGCTCACCATTACTTTCGGTGCTGGGGCCTGGACCAGCCTTGCTTCCCTCAAGGCGCAGAACACTCCTTGTGTCCCAGCGTGTCTCAGAGCTGTCTGTCAGCACAGCCCATTCTCCCTGGTGTTCCTATGAGGCCTCCGTAGGGCCACCATTTCTGAGTTTTGTTCTTTCTTCTCAGGACTTTGTTTTTCCTTAAGGAGCAAAAACTAGAGAGTCAATGGCCACTGGCCTCAAGACATAAAAGCCCCAAGAATCAGTTATCATCACAAATTGTTATAATGGATGTGAGAGTGAAGGGGGGCCCCAGGGCCCTGATTACAGAGGTGATGCTGGAAATCATAACAATAAGGAGGTGTCCAGACTGAGAGCGAGTGTCTGAGTGGGGAACAGGGAGAGGCCTGATGAGAAGAAAAGTCCTGGGAGGCCATGGCCCATGCTGCGAGTAGGCCCAAAATGCAGATGTCAACGTGAAGCAGGATACGTCTGATGGAAAATGATTACATGGGACTGCAAGTTGCTTAAAAACAAACAAAAAACACCATATCTGAGGGTGATCAAAGAAAATTAGAATTAAAGAGACAGGATACTGTGAGTGAAATGGTTATGGGTAAACTTTACCATATTCTCAGTCCTAGAGAGTGGGAAAGAATCCACAATGGAGAGGAACATCTTGTATAATATATTTATACTAGAGGCCCAGTGCACGAAATTCATGCACAGGGGAGGGAGAGTCCCTCAGCCCAGCATGCACCCTTGGGGGATGTCTGACAGCCGGTTTAGACCCACCCGCAGTCGGACATCCCTCTCGCAATCCAGGATGCTGTATACACCAGTGACCATACTTTTTATACAGGTGAAAGGCATCTTGCTGTTGTATGGGCAGCTACATTTTTTTGCCCTGATTATAAAAAGTAGTATATAACATGATCCTTCTGAGGCAGTAGTACCATTTTCCCCATCTTATGGGTGGAAAAACTGAAGCAGAGAGAAGTTAAGTAATTGGCTTTGTCACACAATTGTAAGTGTCAGAATCAGGGCTGACCACAAAATGTGCAAGCCAGAGTCCATGCATGTCATCGCTGCATCATCCTGTTTTTTCAGTGTTAGAGTAGCCTTGCCAGGTTTTAATTTTTAAATCTAAGAGACTGTTCCCAATATATAAGGTAGGGTCCCTAGCCTGGCCAGTG